ATAAAGAACAAAGGAGAAGATGAACGTGGCTGCGCTAATGAGAAGACATTTGCAAAAATCACAAACATATAAATGAGCGTAAACTCCGGAATCCAGAACTAACCACACAATACACACACACACACCGAGGGTACCCACACTGTAACAACAATTAAACAAAAACCACAGGATGATAGAAAGTAAAATGGCCATGTACATGTTAACACCACTGGTACCAATACCCACCGTGTAACAATCCCCAGCTCTGTTATAACACAAGCTCTAATGAAATCATGCAAGAATTGTACAAAATCCCAGCCCCACCGGCTGTAATTCGTTCCCTGCCCGCTGGGCAGTCAAGCCAACATAAAATCCCAGCCCCACCGGCTGTAATGCGTTCCCTGCCCGCTAGGCAGTCAAGCTAACATAAAATCCCAGCCCCACCGGCTGTAATGCGTTCCCTGCCGCTGGGCAGTCAAGCTAACATAAAATCCCAGCCCCACCGGCTGTAATGCGTTCCCTGCCCGCTAGGCAGTCAAGCTAACATAAAATCCCAGCCCCACCGGCTGTAATGCGTTCCCTGCCCGCTAGGCAGTCAAGCTAACATAAAATATAGAAAAAGGAGCACACATACACATATTACTAATACAGGAGGCAGATAGACAATCGACAGGTTCGCTTAAAAAGGCACACCGGATGAGTTAGTTACCTGTCTCTAGTAGCCTTCTGGAAGCCGGAAGTGGACCCGGAGGCAGACCGACACAAAACAGGAAAATAACACAGGCAACGGCTGTATTATGGAGGTGATCAGGCTCCGCTTGTCCCACTTTCCGGAGGTCCGCTCCGGTCCGTTGGTTCCGGCCCTCCGAACCGGCCCTCCGGTGGCCCCACGTTGGGCGCCAATTGAAATGGAAAAAATCAATCAAAGTATTGATTATTTCTTTGTGTATCTGCCCCTGGCCAAATCAGTGAAACAATGCGTGCACGCTCCCTGAAGTAATTCACACCAGACACAGGTTCCAGGTTGTTGAATAACTTGAGGAAAGTTTATTCAGAGGGGACGGCAAGTCCCTTTTAAAGCAAAATTACATCATGTGCATTGTCAGAGATAACATGGAATAATACATCAATAATTGGTTAGGTGTTAAGTGCTTGCTCTAATGCTCTGCCTACTGTAGGTGATGTCACCGGGACCATGAGGGTCTCCCACGGTTTCCCGGCGCCATCTTGATGCACGAGGTAGTTAGTCGACGTTAGGAGGGGAAGGGAGGGGGAAGGAGGGATTAGAAGCTTCTAGCAGCCATCTTGATTAAAATGTGTGTGTTTAGCTTTATGTGATATATATATATCATGAAATGAGTAAATAGACATTTTCTCTATCTAGGAAATATGTGCAGACCTTATTTCCACAACAGTCACTGATTTGTTTTTGTTTTGTTTTTGAATGTCAGAAATGTATATTTGTGAATGTTGAGATGTTATATTGGTTTCACTGGTAATAATAAATAATTGAAATGGGTATATATTTGCTTTTTGTTAAGTTGCCTAATAATTATGCACAGTAATAGTCACCTGCACACACAGATATCCCCCTAACATAGCTAAAACTAAAAACAAACTAAAACTACTTCCAAAAATATTCAGCTTTGATATTAATGAGTTTTTTGGGTTCATTGAGAACATGGTTGTTGTTCAATAATAAAATTAATCCTCAAAAATACAACTTGCCTAATAATTCTGCACTCCCTGTATATAATACACTATATTATCACACTATATTATCACACTATATAACACACTATATTATAACACTTTATAATACACTATATTATCACACTATATAATAACTATGATACGAATGATATGATATTGTGTTTTATAAACTCTAATACACTATATTATCACACTGTATATTACACTATATTTATCACACTATATTTATCTTACTATATATTACACCGTATTTATCACACTATATTTATCACTCTATATTACACTATATTTATCACACTATATATTAACTATATTTATCACACTGGATTTATCACACTATGTATTAACTATATTTATCACACTGGATTTATCACACTATATATTAACTATATTGATCACACTGTATTTATCACACTATATATTAACTATATTTATCACACTGGATTTATCACACTATATTTATCACACTATATATTACTGTGTATTTATCACACTATATATACACTGTATTTATCACACTATATATACACTGTATTGATCACACTATATATTACACTATATTTATCACACTATATATACACTGTATATATATCACACTATATATTACACTATATTTATCACACTAAATATTACACTTTGTTTATCGCACTGTATTTATCACACTATATATTACTGTGTATTTATCACACTATATATACACTGTATTGGTCACACTATATATACACTGTATATATATATCACACTATATATTACACTATATTTATCACAATATATATCACACTATCACACTTTACAGTCAGGGCCGGTGCAATGATTTTTGACTACTCAGGCAAAGATTAATTTTAAAAGCTGTGGCTCTACCGATTCCCCATGCTTGCAGCATTGTATTAAGCACTATTTGTATGTTTGAATGTTAGCATGTTTTTGTATAGAGTATGTTTGTGTGAATGTAGGGGTGTGTTTGTATGTAGTGTTTGGGTTTCAATGCAATCGTGCATTTATATGTAGTGTTGGATTTTGAATGCAGCGGTGTGTTTATATATAATTTTGGTGTCTAATACAGAGGTGTGTTTGTATGTTGTGTTGACATTTGAATGCAGGGTGTGTTTGTATGTAGTTTTGAAGTTTGCATGCTGGGGTGTATTTGTGTGTAGTGTTGGCGTTTGAATGCTGAGATTTATGCACATATACACATACACTGCCACACACACACTGTGATACACATACACGTAGATACACACACTGACACACATGCAGATACACAGACACAAATATACACAAACTGATACACATTCAGATAGACAGATACACAGATAAACACATACAGCTGCAGACACACACTGACAGATACACACAAACACTGACAGACACACAATGATATACAAACACACTGACAGACATACACATACACACTGATAGACATACAGACACACACATACATATTGACAGACATACAGCTACACAAACACACACTGACAGACAGACACACAGACAGACATACAGATACACACACACTGACTGACAAAGACAGACATACAGACACACACACACTGACAGACATGCACAGACACACTGACAAAAATACAGATGCACACACAGACATGCTGACAGACACATATAGACACACACAGACAGACATACAGACACACACTGGTCAAAATATACACTTTTCTAGCAACCCTCCTGTTTTCTAGCTTGTGGGTTCAGGAGGGTGGCTTACGTGGGATCCAGAGTGCTGCCTGAGGTAGTTGGGAGTTGAAGGAGCTGGCTCCGCCCAGCCCCCCCTCTCTGACTTCTCCTATTCTCGCTGCTCTAGTCTTCTTGGGAGGAAGTCCTCCCATGCTGATGAGAAGAGGGCCGGCTTTCCTATGGGCGTAATGCTTTCCTATGGGCGATTTGAATGCGCGCGCGGCTCTTGCCACACATGCGCATTCGGAGCTGAGAGGCGGAGCGGGGTGGAGAGATCCCCAGCGCCAAGGGAGTCCGGCGCTGGAGAAAGGTAAGTGCTTAAGACACACACACACTCTAACAAATAGACGCATACACACTAGATAACAGACACACACATTTACTGACAGACACACACTCGGTGACAGACATACATACACACTCACTGACAGACAGACACACACTCACTTACAAAACACACACTCACTAACAGATGCACACAAACTAACACACTCAGTAACAGACACACACAGTAACACACTCACTGACACACTCTTACACAGATACACACACTCTAACACACACACACTCTAACACACAAACACACTCTAACACACACACTCACGTTTTTTTTCAAAATTTAATCCCCCAGCCTCCTTACCTTTGGGAGTGCTGAGGGGATTCCCTGGGGTCCAGTGGTGACACCCGGCAGGCAGGCTGGTGGGTGCGCGAGGGAGCACTCTCCCTGGCTGAGTGCTTCCTGTTCCGGTATCAGTGCGGTGCGCGAGGGAGCTGAAGAAGGAGCACTCAGGGGCCAGTGCTCCGTTGCGCGCCCGCCAGCCTGCCTGCCGGGTGACACCAGGGCCAGCCTCAGGGGGCCCTGAGGTGGCCAGCTCCTGGGCCCCCCAGGAGAAGAGGCTGGCCACAGTGGCATACATACCGGGTCACAGGGCGGCCGGGCCCCCTGGTGTGTACGCCACTGGTGCTGTGCGCTTCCCTCCTGCTGGACACCCGGACATTTGCGCCCCTGGGCCAGTGCGCCCTAAGGCGGCCGTACCGGCCCTGTATACAGTACACTATATATTACACTTTATTTATAAAATATTTTACCAGGAATGAAACATTGAGATTTCTTTCGTTTTCAAGTATGAGGTGGGTCCACAAAACATGACATTGTTACCATAGGGTAGAATATTAAAAAAAATCATACAATATCCACTATATATACACATACATACAGACATATATAAATTACTATACTGTTATATCGGATAAAATGACATAGTCTGTAATATTGGATAATATGGCATAGTCTGTACAGGTGGTCCTCACTTGATGACCTACCTGTTTTACGATGGCTCGCACTTATGACCAGCTGTCTAGCGTGGGGCTTCAAGGGATTCCCCACGTTAGAGAGCTGGTCTATGTTCGGGGAATTTTTCCCCAAACATAGACAAGTGAAGCAGAGCAGGGAATCTCTCTAATCTATGTTCGTGTAACGGGGAAACATTACTGCTCAACAGGGACCCTTTAAAACCGCGACTGGACCCCTGTAATGTCGGCTGACTGGGAGAAAATATGGAGAGTACATGGCACCAGTACAGCCAATTTGGTGAAGATATGGCACCGGTACAGCCAGTATGGGGAAGATATGGCACCGGTACAGCAAGTACGGGGAAGATATATGGCACCGGTACAGCTGGTATGGGGAAGATATGGCACTGGTACAACCAGTATGTGGAAGACATTGCATCGGTACAGCGAGTATGGGGAAGATATGGCACCGGTACAGCGAGTATGTGGAAGACATTGCACCGGTACAGCGAGTATGGGGAAGATATGGCACCAGTGCAGCCACTATGTGGAAGATATGGCACGGTGCAGCCAGTATGGGTAAGACATGGCACCGGTACAGCGAGTATGGGAAAGATATGGCACGGTACAGCCAGTATGGGGAAGACATGACACCGGTACAGCCAGTATGGGGAAGACATGGCACCAGTGCAGCCACTATGTGGAAGACATGGCACCGGTACAGCGAGTATGGGGAAAATATGGCACCGGTGCAGCCACTATGTGGAAGATATGGCACCGGTGCAGCCAGTATGGGGAAGACATGGCACCGGTACAGCGACTATGGGGAAGATATGGCACCGATGCAGCCACTATGTGGAAGATATGGCACCGGTACAGCTGGTATGGGGAAGATATGGCACCGGTTCAGCGAGTATTGTGAAGATATGGCATTGGTACAGCCAGTATAGAGAGGACATGGCACAGGTACAGCCAGTATGGGGAAAATATATGGCACCGGTACAGCTAGTATGGGGAAGATATGGCACCGGTACAACCAGTATGGGAAAGCTAAGGCACCAGTGCAGCCAGTATAGAGAGGACATGGCACTGATACAGCCAGTATGGGGAAGATATGGCACCGGTACAGCCGGTATGGGGGAAGATATGGCACCAGTACAGCCAGTATGGGGAAGATATGGCACCGGTACAGCCGGTATCGGGAAAGATATGGCACCGGTACAGCCAGTATGGAAAAGATAAGGCACCGGTGCAGCCAGTATGGGGAAAATATGGCACCGGTATAGCCAGTATGGGGAAAATATGGCACCGTTGCAGTCAGTATGGAGAGGACATGGCACCAGTACAGCCTGTATGTGGAAGATATGGCACCGGTACATCCAGTATGGAATAGATATGTCACCGGTACAGCCAGTATGTGGAAGATATGGCACCGGTACAGCCAGTATCAGGAGGACATGGCACCGGTAGAGCCAGTATGGGAAAGATAAGGCACCGGTGCAGCCAGTATGGGGAAGATATTGTTATGGGCAAATGCAAATATTACAAGTTTTAGAATGAAATGTTGTATTTCTTAAACTGTGTACTTTGTCTTTAAGAGATATTGCAAACTGACAAGGTGTTAGAAATGGAACATATTGTTTTTCATAACTGATTCTTTAACTCCTTCAGGACGGGTGACGGACGAGGTCCGTCACAGAGGTGAGACCCTTAACGACGGGTGACGGACCTCGTCCGTCACGCGGTAAAATTAACCCCGGATCGCCGCTATCGCGGCGATCGCGGGGTTAATGGTGCTCCCGGTATGCCTCTGCATTAGAGGCATACCGGGAGCACCCGGTCAGGCTGCCCAGCACATGTGCTCGCTCTGACCGCAAGTCTGAGCGAGCACATGTGCTCTGTATACTCACCTACCAGCTCCCTGCACTTCCGGGTTCTGTGTGAAGTGCAGGGAGCCGGATCAGTGCTGATCCTGCCCCCTGCTGTTTAAAAAAATAAAGTTTATTTAAAGTCCCCCCCCCTTACCCATTTTAATAAAAAATTAACCCCTTCCCTGCCAATTGATCACTGACTACAGTGATCAATTGGCAGGGATTACATTTTACTATGATCTGATTATTTTTTTTTAACCCCTGAGGGTTAATTCTTTTTTTTTTTTAACCCTCAGGGGTTAAATTAATTAAATTAATTAATTAAATTATTTTTAATTATATATTTAGCTAGCTGGGGTAGGTGGAAGTTAGTGGGGAATTGGGGGATTTGGCGTTAGGCTAACTAGGGGTTAACGTTAAAAAAAGTTTTAAAAGAAACTTTAAAAAGTTAAAAATTAAGCTTAAAAAAATGTTTTAATAACATTTAAGTAAAAAAAACAAAAAAAACACACTTTACCTAGTCCAAATAAAAATTAACCCCTTCCCTGCCAGTCGATCACTGCCTACAGCGATCAAATAGAGATCACAGTATTATACTGTGATCTAATTTTTTTTAACCCCTGAGGATTAACTTTTATTTATTTTTTTAACCCTCAGAGGTTCAATTTATTTAATTAATTAATTTAAATATTTTATAACTATATATTTTGCTAGCTGGGGTGGGTGGGAGTTATGGGAAAATGGGGAATTTACTGTTAGTGCTGCTTACTGCTAGTTAGGGGTTAACAGTAAAAAAAAAAGCTTAGAAAAATATTAAATCTGTAAAAAAGTTTTAAGAAAGTTTACGAACGTTTAGGAAAGTTTAAAAAATTTATAAGCAAAACAAAAGTTTAAAAACTAGTTTTTAAAAGTAAAAAAGTTATAAAAAGTAAAAAAATACATTTTAAAAACGCTCATTACCACTACACCTGGAACAAACTAGAGAAAAAATTATCCCACGCCAAGGTTCAAAATATGCCTTTTGAATTACCCCAGGGTGTATTCTTTAATAAATAGTATGTGTTTGTGGGGAAGTTTCAATAACCAACCGTCTAAACTACTCCAAATTGGAACATGGACACAGCGTAAAACTTCAAAGTTAGAAAAAAACTGAATGGCTGCGTCTCAAATGCGCCCCTTCAACATCCACATATACCTGGCAAAGGTACATACGGGGGTATTGCTGTACTCAGCCGACATAGCTGAGCAACATATGAAGTATTATACAGTCATAGCACACATAAGGTTTGCAAAATATGCTGCGCAAACTCACTTTGTATGTCAAAAAGGCAGAAAAAATGCTTATTACCACTACACTTGGTACAAGCTAGCGGAAAAATGATCCCACGCTAAGGTTCAAAATATGCCTTTTGAAATACCCTGGGATGTCTTCTTTAAGAAATGGTATGGCTTTATGGGGAATTTGGATTATATAGCCTGGTAAAATACTCTAAAATGGGACATAGGCACAGCATAAAAATTCAAAGTTTGAAAAAAACTGGAATAGCTGTGTCCCAAATGTGCCCCTCCGATGTCCACACATACCTGGCAAAGGTACATACGGGGGTATTGCTGTACTCAGCCGACATAGCTGAGCAACATATGAAGTATTATACAGTCGTAGCACACATAAGGTTTGCAAAATATACTGTGCAAACTCACTTTGTATGTCAAAAAGGCAGAAAAAACGCTTATTACCACTACATCTGGTACAAGCTAGCGGAAAAATGATCCCACGCTAAGGTTCAAACTATACCTTTTGAAACACCCTGGGGTGTCTACTTTAAGAAATGGTAGGCCTTTGTGGGGTAGTTTGAATTTAAAACCTGCGAAGATGCTTGGAAATTGCACATAGGCCCAGCGTCAAAATTCAAAGTTTGGTAAAAACGGATATGGCTTGGTCTCCTATATGGCACTGTAGCTTCACGAAATAGTGCCAAAGACATTCATATGGGGTGTCATTTTACTCAGAAGACTTAGCTGAGCATAATTTGGGGGTTTGAACTTAGTGGCACATATGAAATATACAAAACGCCCAGCAAAAATGCAATCCGTATGTAAAAAATGCACAAAATTATTTTTTACCACATACTTTGGCATATATTGGTGAAAAAATGGGGGCATGTTAAGGCACAGTATGCACCTTATAAGATACCCTGGAGTGTCTACTTTTACAAATGGTAGGCCTTTGTGGGGGGTTTTTGAACAGTCAAAATGTTATAATACCCCAAATGGAAGCTAAGGCTCATTAAATCCATCTCTCAAAATTCTACTGTGAATACTGAAAAGGACAGGTATCCTGTATGGCACTGTAACTTCACGAAATAGTGCAAAAGACATACAATGGGGATGTCATTTTACTCAGCAGATGTAACTGAACACAAAATAAAACTTTGTACAGAAATAGCACACACCAACTTTACAAAATATACACGAGAATTTCTCTGTTATAAGTTTGTGTGCCAAAAACCAAAAAGAACACAATTTTACTCCAATATTTAGCAGAGGTTGGCGGTGAAATGGCTACGTAGAAAGTGTCAAAACAACCTTAGGTAAATAGCCCGTGATGTCTACTTTATATAAATATATACTTTTGTGTGGCAATTTTGTTTTCTTTTATGGCTATTAAGCTTACAAGACAAACATACCAAATTCTAAAATCGCTCCACATTAAAAGTTTATTTTACTCCTTGTGCTTTGTGACCTGTAACTACCAAAAAAAACTTAAAATCCCAGACACATTATATATTCTGTAAATCAGAACAAATAAATAAATTTTTAATTACTTTCCTTAACCTGCACTAATTATGCACACATTATTATTGCAAAAACTGTAAAAAAAAACAATATTTTTCATTTTTTTTGCATTTTTCTCTATTTTTTTTATAATAAGTAAGCATTTATATATATATATGTTATATCAAATTAAAGCCCTTTCTGTCCTTTAAAAAACAGTATATAATATGTGTCGGTGCAATAAATGAGAGAGATGCAAATTGCAGTTGAACGCAAACAGCAAGAAAATGCAAAAATTGCTTGTGTCATTAAGCGTAAGTCAAGCTTCTGAAGCTGTGTCCTTAAGGGCTTAAGCAATAACCTCAGTGCATAATATGTTTGCGCCATTTTGTCCCGGAAGAATTACAAAAACAATAATGCATAAACAAGCTTCAAGGCTATACTACGACACTTTCAGTACACAATATACTGTGGTAACCCCAAGTTAATGGAACTTCCCCAAATCCGGGAATCTCCCACGACTGTACACTTACGACTTAGTATAAACAACATATAACCTATTCAGACTTTAAGATGCCATCTTGAACAAAGTCAGGAAAATTTCCATGACGTATGCACCCTTTAGTTATGGCCTTGTATGTTTGCCAAATTAAGGGAGGTCCTAAATTGAATAAAGTAAAAGAAGTGTTACTTTTTCATATTTGAACTACAGTAACCTAAAATGGAGACACATAAGGTATAAATAGGTGTACTTTTAAATGTTAAGACACAGAGGAGAGACTTGGAGACAGATGCTGCTCCATCTTAAAATGACAGAGAGGCTGACATGATGACATGTTCAGAAGGGTATGTTAACCTATTAATGATATTTGCAAGCATGTAATTTAATCTTATAAATTCTGCTATAATGGATTTTATATTTATATTTTTATATAATAAATATCCAAAAAGACAAAACTATTGCTTCCAAGACAATCCTTATTTTATAATGTATTCTCAATTATTTATATATGTTAAATAGAGGATCTCTTACTAACTATATAAAATTATGGCTAAGATATCTGTATGGTTAACCCTACTAAGTTCTATGCTTTAAGACATTATAGTGGTAAATAAGGGAATCACCAGCGGTTACAATATGGCACCGGTACAGCCAGTATAGAGAGGACATGGCACCGGTACAGCCAGTATGTGGAAGATATGGCACCGGTACAGCCAGTATGGGAAAGATATAGAAACATACGTGACGGCAGATAAGAACCATTCGGCCCATCTAGTCTTCCCAATTTTCTAACTACTTTCAT